CGTTCAACGTAATGTCATAATTACCAACATCTGGTGACCATTGGGAAGCTCTGGTGGCATAGTGCCTAAGGCATGTGACTGCTAACCAGAAGGCTGGAGGTTCAAACCCACGAGCCACTCCTGGGAAGGAAGGTTGGGCAACCTACTTCCATAGAGATACCGTGTGGGGAACCCCAGGAGGGGTCTCTATGAGACGGATCCAACTCTATGGCAGTGAGTTTGTTTCTTGGTTTGGTGACCATTGATTGAATGCTGTTTGTTAAATAAGTTTCACAGCTATTAAGTGCCCAGACAAGAGTTCCATCTGTGCCTGCCCTCCGGACCCCTGCTGAGAAGCGCTTAGCCATGAGGACTCCCTTAGTTCTTTTTGAACACTCTCGTCTTCTGGCCTCCAGGTGATACAGCTAAAGATAGAAACTTTTCCTACTTTTCCAACTTCACTATGCCCCTCAGAATATGTGAGAAAAGGCAGCCCGCATTTTGTAGACGATTAGGAGGGCAGTGAGATAGCGTAGCCACCTTCCGGCTGACATTTGAGCCCTGCTTTCAGCACGGTCAAGCCTTTCGGAGGCAGCCAGCGTATGGCTTGTATCAAACTCTATATTTAGGAAGAACAACTGTGAGCTATGACAGGAATTCTCTTTAACACTTAAGCCTTAAACCTAGCTCCCCTCCAGCCCCAAGCGGGGAGCAGCTCTCAATACCCGGTGAGACACAGAGCACTTGAGCTATTTCAGCCACATGAAAAGCATCGCAATTGAGATCGCAGCTCAGAGGACACCGGGCATCCCTTCCGCCCTCCAAGAAGCCTTGTATTCTCGCACCTGGCTGCTTGGGACTTTCCTTAGGCAGTAAGCAAATAAATAACGCAGGTAAGCAGAGGGACTCAGCTTTGGCAACTGGGCTTTCTAAAGGAAATTTCCTTGATAACTAACTTGAAGTGGCTACTTAAAACTTTGTAGGCTTGTAAGCAGTGGGTGTAGCTTCCTGGTACATTTACTCTTCATTGGTGGTGTTGCTTCTTCTGTTACAAATTGTGTGTGTGGGGAGAAGGGAAGCTGAAAGAATATTGAGCTAAAAGTAGTTTTCATCAACAGTGACAGTAACGAAATTTCCGTCCTCCAGATAGGGTAACTGTGTCCCTGAAACTGCGCTGGCCAGGGTTACAGTTGGTCAGCTGCAGACTGATTTGGGCTGCAATCCTATAAATAATCAGGAGAATTTGGGGCAGAGAAAAGCTGTAAGGGTAGTTCTGTGGTTTACCTAAATGCAAATGATTGCAAAATTGTTACACAGTACAAGTTTAAAATGTTTCTCTTCTTTCCCTAAGCAACAGGCTTGGTATCAGTGATCAAGTCCTATCAATGTCCTGTACATATAGAGACTAATACTGTAGAACCGTGTTGTTGAAAGTTCCGTTTTGGTCCCAGTTTTCCCTGTACCCAGCAAGGCATAGGGCAACACTCACTGAGTCTTTCTCTGTGGGCACTGGGTTATGAAGCATGGCAACGCTAAGAGTATTTCTTCCCTCTCAGCATATTTAAGGCAGAGTGAATAAGGAGTTAGTCAGTTCAGACAGCTGAACATCTTTCTACACTCTTCTCAGGAATTATTTTTAGCTGCAGGACAGAAGATAATTTCCTTTGAGATTTAGCCTTACCCATTTACTTGACCTTTTAAAACAAACCAAGCAACCCACAAAGCCCCTTAACTCCAAATATTGATTTATTTACTGCTGAATCCCTTATTGGATTAGTGACATTAATATTGACAAAGTTTTAGTAAGTGAAAGCATATGATTTAGAAGTCAGATATTAGGTACTGCCCAATGGAAAAACAGCAGGGGTGTGTGGTACGTGACTCAGCATATAGACCACTAAAGGTCCCCATTGACTTGAGGAACTGCCAAGAAAACTCAGTCGTGCGAAGATGGCAACCATTTCCATTTTAGTATGGGCTTTGTAAAGGTCAATATATGCCTTGTCAAACCTCATATTTCCAAATTTTAGCCAATAGAGTCCCTCTTTGGGTGGAAGCGTGGACCATCCTATATGAGGAACCACTTGCTTTTCTTTGGTCCTGGGGCAAAGCAGGCTGATGAAGAAGGAGGGTGCATCCCATACTCTGGCATCCCTAACACAGGTGAAAGGCAGGCTGGGGAAACAGGCAGGAAACACTGTCTATTTTTATTCATCAGCGTGCTTTGCCCTGATTTCTCTGCGAATAATGAGGACAGCAGGAACCGTTGCTGAACTGATTTACACCAACGTTATCTAGCCTATTGGTGAGCAATGAGAGTTGGGATCTGACCAACTTTCTATAAATGTCTCTATCAGATTACCATATATGTTAAGAAGGAATTTTGTATGCAAATGAGAAACTGTACAAGGGACAAAGCCCAAGGTATCTCCATCCATTAGGCTCAGAGCTACACAGAACACCAATCAATCCAGCAGTTAGTGCAAGCATGTCTGAGAAAAAAGAAATTCCTTTTTTTTTTTTTAAGCTAAGTGCAGTATAAACAACATAATCATTCATGTCCCGATTTTTAAAATGTCTCAATCTGCTATTATTGTAATAACAAAGAAATTTCCTAATTCCAGTCTTTCAGATCGAAGTGCAATAACTTTTTAAAAGCTCCCAAGTGACATTAGTTACACTTTAGTCACACACACAGAATGCTACATGCCATGCAGAGATATTTCAAGGCCTGTGAGAATTATTGTTTTATATGACTTTTAATAGCTTTGGAGGAACAGAAACATTATAAATTAAACCACTTTTGGAATTGAGCTGTGTGTCCTAGATGCAAAAATTAAAAATCCTTCATTAACTCCTAGACATGACAGGAAGGACATCAATCTATTCAAAACATAACATAGAGCAAAATCCATCCTCGATGGTTCAATTTGTTGTTGCCCTTCAGTTTTTTAACTGTATTAAAAATAAGTCTACCCAGACCCTTACACATGGAGGCTTTGTCTATAAAGTACTAAAACATCAGCTAAAAACAATTAAAATCCCACTGTTTTCATGTCTGTGGTCCCAAGCAACTATAGGTTTGGATTCACTAATTATAGAGTTTTTCCCCCAAAATTATGTCATTGTTTAACTTCATAGAGCAAAGCCAAGGATTCTGAAGATCTCAAGACTCCAGTTTTTCAGAGCTCTTCTCAGATCTTTTATCCTTATCCCGTACTTAAAGCTGCAGACAAGTACAACACCTAGAAACCAGGAGCTACGGGCAGTGGCAATGAAACAATAAATATTTGCACTGTGCTTCATAGCTCATAGGGCATTTTCAGGAACGTTATGTCATTTTGATTGTTACCACAATCTTTGAAGCAGATAAAATTTAAGGAAGAAGAAACGGGCTTAGAAATGTTGAGTGACATTGCCCAGGTCACACAGGACTTGTGGCCAACCCTGCTCTCTTTGTAACTCTCCTACAGTGGCTGGTGTTAGAGCAGGAGCCTTGTTTTTGAGTTGCAGCTACCCTAGAACCACTAGTTCATTTACTTCTCAGTTAACTCATATACTTTCATCAACCAGTAGAGAGAACTCAGTCAATCTGTTTAACAGTTTGGGTTTAAAAAGCAGCCTTCTTTAACTTGCTA